AACAACTCCTGACATTGCCAGTCCTACGGATAACCCACTACTATTATGGACTACTGGACTATATTGGATTATTTTGCTGAATTCACATACCTACAGTATTTAATTGGCAATGGAACACCCATCTCTGACAAAACTAAATAAAAAAGGGGATACAAAGAGCAAGGACCATTTTGTATCTGTATATACAAAATAGTTAGGATAGATATACAGCTACTTCCTCTTAATTCAATGAGAAGAAAGATTTATACTAATAAAGTTTGGACAGGATGTCATGTCTGCATCTTGTAGTATGAATAACCACTACAAAGACAACAATATGCAATGTATTAATTATTACAACTGTCCTACTAATTGGTTTTGAAACTGTCTCACTGCTATTTGTTTCTCAATAAAATTAATTAAAAATATAATAAAAAATAAAATAAAAAATGTAGAGCTAATTTTAAAACTGGCTATAATGCTTCCAACAAATAGGATCAATAAATGCAAATAATATATACAAAATCTTTATAAGATCAGTAAGAGAAGAAAAACAAACCAAAAGAAATTGAAGCTAAGGAAACAAAGCAACCAAATCCCAGAAAAGTGCAAACTTTCACATGGATGCAGCCACCTTTCCTTGAGGAAACTCGGCTCCGGTGAACTAACATGAAATCGGGTTTCTCTGCACTTTTCAGCCTTGGTCATTCGTAGAGACAGGAAATGGAAAGGAGATTATCAATGGCTGGGCAGAGGGAGAAATGAGGAGTTACTATAAGTGCATGGCGTCAGTGCAGGACAATGCCAACGCTCTGGACAGGGACAGAAGTGGTGGCTGCGTGACCCTGTGAGAGCACTCAGTGACGATCAACAGCATACTTCATAAGGGCCACAGTAGTGAATGATGTGTTGTGCGTATTTCATGACTATTTTTTCCAACTTAAATGGTATGTACACGCAGTTTATAAAGTGCCTTTATTAAGTGCCTAGTGAGCACTTAGGCATTTTCTAAAACTTTTCATACTAAATATATTGCTGTGCTAAAGAGTAAAACAGGACACATTTTGACCCACTGTGTTTATTTATAGGTGTTAATGCTGTGGTCCCAATAAGTAGTTTGTGTAAAGACATAAATGCAGGGGCTGGAGAGATGGCTCAGTGGTCTAAAGCACCTACTTAGAACAAGCTTAGCAAAAGCATCAGGGACCGCGGTTCAATCCCCCAGC